GGTCACATGATTTTTGTTGTGCCACGATAAAATTTGCTGATCTCCCCACAAGGCTCTGTAATGTTCTTATGATCTCTTCCCCCCGCTGCCCCACCCCTCATTGACAGTTCATTCACAGTCAATTTTCTTTTGTCCATATTTGATACTCCGTTGCCGAAGACTGATCCTTACATCTGTTCCCCTGAAAACCACGCGTTTCCCCAAAAGTCCTTCACCCATCCTCTCCGACGATAAATAGTGACTAGTGCTTGAGTAACCCTCAATGCCGAAACTAATCTTGATTTCTGTATTCTGTAGCATGAAGCAATCTTAGAGTTTGCTACTCCCCCCCGTCAGCAAAACACATGCAACGAGATATGCTTTGCAAACATATACTTTAAAAAAACATTGCGAAGCTTTTCTGGACGCTGTATCTAGCGCTACAACAAAGATCGATGGCGCACGAACAACTTGCTCCCTGAGAGACCTGGTACTGAGTTGGTCAATCCTAGCGTTCAGATTGGACACCAGTATTAACAAAGTCGATCGAATCGCTGTTACCCACTTCTACTTGTGAGTGGAAAGGGAATCTTTATGAATCAAGTATCTTGCTTCAGGGCATATACATCCCGCCTGGGCTGAGACCTGAAGCTTTTTTTTTAACTTCCGCCAGAGGAAATGTCGAATATCATCTTATAACACCCTTCTTGCGGGGTTCTTCACAGGAAGAGATCACTTGCTTTAAAGAAAACAACAGATCCAAAGGAAGCTAAGGAATATATGATTCGTTTAAAGAATGCTATAATTTTTTTCGGTTTTGGCAGCGGTTTTTAAGCAATTTAAACCACAAACCTTGATTAATTACGTCGATTATTTCTAGAGCTGTTAGATTTGAATCATCTAGTTGAGGTCTGTTGTCACCTGTAAGAAAGTATTGAAGAGAGCAGTATTTTAGCAGGTGTAATACTCTATCAAAAAACTGAGTTACTTGACCTTGAAGAGGTGAAAACTCCGAAGCAAGGAGTTACGAGTTCGACGATGTAAAATTAATTAAAACCGGTCCATATTCAGGGATGATGGTAAAAACGAGAACAAGTCTAGAATCTAGACACAATCCTCGTAACTTAAGATTTTCTTTTCACAAGCAGAACGCGATGATTATTGGTAAAATAAATTTTCCTCTTGATTTGAAATATTTTGAACGAAAAACGCTCCACTGGTAGCTCTATGAGGAAGAATTTCATGATGGTGTAAGAAAATTCACGAATCAAAATGCGCATACTTTTTCTTGTAAAAGGTGCGATGAATTTTGAACAAACTTTTTTATTTTCAACTCATAGATTCACGAAAAGGAAATTTATCTGAGAATGTGAAAGTGCTATAACTTAATGAAGAACTCATAATAACATATAATATATGTGTATCTTTTTTACTCCGCCCTTTGATTCAAATCTGAAAATTGATAACATAAATAAATATTGCGAAGTGTTCTTTTAGATGTTTAGATAGTAAAGTAAATGGCAGGCTTAGTATGGTAAATAAATGACATCTTCCAAATGAAAGGTTTCTAGGCAGGAAGCTGGGTCGCACAAGTTTCAAACTTATCAATAAACGCAGTAAGACTTCCGAGTGAAAAAAGACTGTATTGCACAGGAAAAATGATAATTTTACTTGTATGTTGTCTTGATTATTCCTATTGTAGTCACAACACTCTTAAGATTTTTCTCCGTGTGCATTAGGGATCAACGATAGTTTTTTTAGTGACATTGAAAAAAACAAATATATATTCTGCCTGGGTTGACACTGTATCCAACCTGTTTCAATGAAGGGGCTAAGGTTTCTAAAGAAAATGTCGTGCTGCGTCGGTGGGAAAGTGACGGTTGCCAATTTACGTTATCAACTCAGTTGATAATACTAAATTACCCTTTATCAATGAAGCTTCTCCAGGAATAATGTTTTGGCGAACGCAAGTTCTCCAGAATTTTAACTTGTCAGTTTGATGCTCAAAAAGTCAACCTCTAGATCTTGATCAAAGGAAGAAGTCAATCATGATGATCTTCATAATATCTGTAGTTTTTTCATCTTCTTAACCACTAGATCGACGAAATTTTTAGCTAAATCACCCAACAATCAAGATTCTTACTTTGGAATTTCAACCCTCGCATTTTGATACGATAAGTTAGAGAAGAATCATTCCGAATAAACTTGTAGTAGCTAAGATGCTTAGATATAACATTATACCTGGTATATCACTCAGGATGGGTATACCTCTTCCTAAAGATGCTTGGATCAAAGACAAAATCATTACTATGGCCAGCATTGTGATCTCCTAGGAATTCAACTACGCTCTGTTTTCAAATGAACAGATCAAACTTAACGGCAGCTATATAGTCAGCTCTTGTCAATTAAACAGGTGCCATTTCACATGTTTGTCTACACCATTTTATAGATTTGACACTTGTTTAAACAAGTTCCCTCAACAAGCAAAATATACAATTAGAGATGAAATATGAAGATCTAGATACTGTCACCTTAAGTAATCAAGTAGATAGTTGTTTGTTGATGAACTATGGTAATGTTAATTAGTAAATGTTTACCATAACAATGTAGGTTCGATTCATGTCGAAATTGTTTGAGGATTTCCTGTCAGTTGTTATCAATAATCGTATGCCGCCGTGAAAACAGAGTGATTCTTCTTCACATTGGATATTGAAAAACTCAGGGATCAGGAACGGGCACTTTCGTCATTCACACCTGGGCCAGAACTGTTACCGTAATGATCGGAAAAAGTATAAATATCTCCAAAAATATTTCGCATTCGTGTTTCGGAATCACGAAATCACAGAAACTTGTTTACTCACCAGCTTTTTGTATTACGATTTGGCCTGTCTACGCCGATTTCTTCTTTTATAAATCATGTACGACTTTTATCATCGAAAAATGTGTTGCGGAGGGGCTACGTCGTGTCGAAATGTTGTAAAATATGTCTAAGTTCCACAGTTTTTTCATATTCTTTGTGAATTTCTTTCAAATATGACAAAATTATGATTTAAACAGATGACACGACTTCTGTTATCTAAGCGTGTGTGTGTCGCAACCTCAAATCATATCTGCGAGTCGTTACAAAAAAATTGGAAATAAAATCCAAAACCGTGGAATCGCGTTTTGCCGATGAGGGTAGTAAGTGTCAATAAACGCAAAGAAATACTTGACGCTGATATCAACATGTCCTTGATAACCAAGTGCTTGTTTCCCACGATTACAATGCTGTGTAAACATAATATAGGTAAATGTAAGTTTGTTTTCCTCAATTTTATGAACAGAATCACGTACTCGAGAAACAAGAGAAACTAAGGAGTATTTTGTTGTATTTTTGTCTGGTACAAACAATTTTAAAACGAGTCCTTGTCGGAAAAACGTCTTATAAACTGTTCTTTTTAGCCTCCAGTTTCAAGAAAAAAATTTAAAGTGTTATTTAAAGTGACTCTTTCTTTTTTTTAATTTTATTTGATCTACCTTCTTAAGGGAGTGATTAAAGATTCCAGATTGACAAAAGAAACAATGTTTTTCAGGGACGAGGGACCGACGATCACTTCCTTCAGAACAGAAGATGGGGGAAGGGGAGGAGGGGGTGGGGAAGAGAAAAACCAAAATGTTGTTTAAGACAAACGTTTCTTTAGTTAATCTTCTTAAAGATTATTAAAGTGTATGTGGGAACACATTGGTAAGCGGTCTTTGCATTCCATTTACCGAACTTTCTTTGAGAAAAGGAACACTGCTAACTGTCTTTAAGGTTTAGTTCTTGGTGGCCGCTCAAGGTCAAGGGGCAATTAGACGGTAGCAAAAGGGGGGAGGGGTGGGGTTCCTGTTCCTGTTTCACTCACGAGTTTTTGAAAAATTCACACGTCATGTTTTTAAAAGGGAAAATTTCAAATCTCTCTTCTTGTGCACAAGGTTTCAGGGAAATCTTGACATTTCTACGAAATGAAAGAAAAAAATTCACGGGTCACGTCTATTTCAGGAGGCAAATCACATCTGACGCTGGTTACTAATAAATTCACGAATGACGCTCGCCGTTGCTACCCTCTAATGAAGTAAAACGTCACTAACAAAGGAGCTGTAAAAGGAGATCGAATGTTTCCCAGAAATTGTTTATCTTCAGGTAAATACTTTCTGCTTCAAAACATCTAAAAGATTATGAACGATAAAAGTGTTTTATTTCTCAGAGATGCAAAATACTAAGTTGAAGGAAAGACTCTCAGTTTCATCAACAAACCACCGCACTCGTGTGAACGGCCGGAAATGTAATGATTCCATCCTGCATGAATTTTATGTATGTACTTAGCTTCCGGTTATGCACCGTTACCCAAATTTATTCCACTCAGTAACGTGCACGTTGATATATTTGTTGCTAACTTGATTCTACAAAGAGTGCCTCGAAAAAGAAAAATCATTGTTTGTACTAAGTTTTTCTTTTCATGTTAGTTTGACATTAAAAACCTCTTATTATAAATATATGTTGACGGCTGGGAGGTTCGTATGGTGAAAAACTGTGACCTCGGTCTTGAAAATGCTGCCCGAGGCCTAGTTTGGCAAGGACTGCCACGACAATGTTTTCTTCAAAAACAGTCAATGATCTAACAGAAAGTATTATTCACTCTCATCGACGATTGATTCATGTACGAAAATTTACCTCTGTTCATTAAGCAAACGGCGAGGAAAGTAAATTCAAATTTTTTTTACTTTGAAATTGTGAGAATTTGCTCGTTTGTTTGCTGCAATGGCGTGTGTAAATCTGGTCTTTCCTCCCCAAAAACTACATTCAAATGATACACTCCAACGAGACACAAGGGGATTTAATGCGGCCTTTTCATTGAATTCCTTCGGTTTCTGTTGTGTAATTTACGG